TTTTAATTGTATTCTTAGTATAGCTAACAGTTGTTAATGCGAAACAACGTAGTGAATATGAGAACTCTTTTTTTTTTCAAAAAAGGGCTCCAGTTGTCCCAGAATTAGTTTTGCAAGACAGAAAAAGTTCGAGTATATATATATATATATATAATATATATAATATATATATATATATATATAATATACTACATTCAAAACGGAAACAATTTAACGAAGAATTTTGAAGAATTATTGCTACATGCCAATACACCTGACATTACTTTCTTTAAAAAATTGCTCAAATATTAGTTTTTTTTGACAACAACAAATTACTGGTGTATGACATAGGTAACATAATCAGTATTAAGATTGCCAAGTGTTTGTATGCAAACATGGCTGTAAGGGAACTCCGGAATTTTCATGAAGCAATTATGCATGGTGACGTTTTCGATTCTTTGTAAACAAACGTTAAGCATTGAAAGACGAAATTATGAGTTAACAAAGATTCTAATATTAAAAGTAGTAAACGATGAAACAGTAGCGTCTTACCTAAATAAAGATGTGTTGGGTCGTTATCCCGTTGGGAGGTGACTGTTAAGAATGTAAGCAATTAAGCGCGCGCTGCCCGGTGCCTACCTGCCATGCAGCGCACGATGTCCGGGAAGTCCTTCTCGCAGCGCTCGGGGTCCTGGCCCGTGTTGCCCTGCAGGATGCTCTGCACGGCGCAGAAGCCGAAGCACGCCGCCGACACGTTGCGCGCGGCGCAGCACGCCGTGTAGTTGTGGCGCTGCGCGGCGGAGCGCGCCGCGTCGCTGGCGCCGGCGCCCAGCAGCCCCGCGCCGCCCGTGCCGTTCTCCGGGGGCGGTTGCAGCGCCCGCGACAGCACTGCGGCACACGCGTGCTCTCTCACTCTCACACTCATCTCACTGGCACTATGAGGCATTTCGTGTCTCTATCTCTCTTCTCCTCTACCTGAGACAATTTGTCTCTCTGCGTTGACTCTGGCTCTGACAAACTGTGTCAGGCGTACTTTTGTACTCTCGCTCGTTCTCTCGCTCGTCCTCTCGCTCGTCCTCTCGCTCGTCCTCTCGCTCGTCCTCTCGCTCGTCCTCTCGCTCGTACTCTCGCTCGTACTCTCGCTCGTACTCTCGCTCGTACTCTCGCTCGTACTCTCGCTCGTATTCTCGCTCGTACTCTCGCTCGTACTCTCGCTCGTACTCTGTCACATTTGTTGTATCTGACTCTACCTGAACCCTCAAACTATTTCTATTTGCCCCCTCCCTCTGTTCCTTATCATCTCTGTTTTGCTGTTTTCTAGTATCTTTCCTCCCTCGATTCCCTTGTTGTCTGACCCCCACATCTATATTTCACTGTTTTTGTCACGTCTTTGAACCCTTTTCATCTCTAGACTTTTCTAAATCTGTCTCTCTCCCCTTCAAACTGTCGCTATTTGTCTATTTAGGGTATGCGTCTTTTTGAAACTGTCTCAGGCACACTCCCTTTATTGTCTCACTCATTCTATTATATCCTCAAATTATTTATATTTTTCTCTTCTTTATTTCTGATCTTTCTCTCCCATTGACTCTCCCGCGGCCCTTCCCTGATTGCTAGTCTCTCTCCGTCCCTCATTCTAATGTTGCCTGCCCCTTTCCCCCAACATATACTCGCACTTTTTAGCGTGTTTTCTGTCATTCGCACTGCCTTCCACTATGCCGCTCTATCCCGTCCCATCTTTCTCTATATGAACCCCCAAACTATTTCTGTTTATTCCCTCCCCTGTTTCAAGTTTCTCTTCGCCTCTGACTCTTGGTGACTGTCCGTATCTTTTCTTTTGTTTTCCGTCTCCATTTGCCTTCTGCGACCTCTTTGACCCTCCTCGAGTCCGCTTTTGCCTCTCTCCACATCGGCATCTTCCTGTGTTTCTCAGGTACTCATTCTCATTCTAACTCTGTTGCCCTCGCTGCCTTTGACGATTTCTGGACTTGTCATCCTGTCACTGTTTCGAAACTCTGACCCTTTCTGAGACTGTCTTTATGTCTCTCATTACCACGGTCGCTCCCTCTTTTTCTTTCTTCATTTATCATCCATTGAGTTATTCTGTTTTTCTCACTCCCAGAGAGTCCCCTGTCTGTATTTTCTGTCTCTCCTAACACATTTTTTCATTATTATATATTACTTATTATAGTTATTTCATTATTTCTGTAACATTTTCTGACATTTCGTGCGACTGTCTCTATCACTCACTACCTCCTGATATTTTCTCTCACTATTTCTTCCTATCACTATCATTATTACTCATAGTCTCGCGCCTACTTTCTATCAATCTCTCCCTGTACCTTTCCCTCTGTCACTGTTTCTGCCTCTCGCTTTATACCTATTCTCTGCCCTCTTCCTATATTTCTCCATGCCTGTCATTTTCAGTCCCACTCTCTCTCCACTGACACACTTTTCATCTCTCAGTTTTAATATTTCCTTCTCTCTCTTTCTCTTTCTCTCTCTTTCTCTCTCTTTCTCTCTCTCTTTCTCTCTCTCTTTCTTTCTCTCTTTATCACTCTCTTTCTCTCTCTCTTTCTTTCTCTCTTTATCACTCTCTTTCTCTCTCTCTGACTTACACACATACAGATACACTTTCTTTCTATCCTACACATACTTTTGTTCCTACTTCTGTCCTACACTGGCTGTCTCAACTCAGTGTCTAACTTGTTCACGTCTCTTTTCAGGGATTTAACCCCTAAATTGCTTACATCAATGAACTTAATTTTTTTGACAAAATATAAATGTTGTCTACTGAATGATTGAAGTAGACGTAAAAAAAATCAGAAAATCTTAATTCAATTATCAACAAACATACATTAGGGTCTTGATATCACTGTTGTTTGTATTTACTTAGAAAATAAGTATTATGAAAATAAAAACGCCAGACAGTAAACTACAAATGGAAGAACATTCCTAACTACTTTACTTCAGTTATCGTAAACTTACCGCTGAGTTTATGGAAGGAACGAACCACTGGATTGCTGTTTACTTCACACACATATATGCCTGCATCGGCCGCCTTTGTCTCCTTGATAACGAGCACCCACACGTCACCTCCTGCACATTATAATAGAATCAGAAAAAAATATTAGTAAATAACCCCAAAAGCAACTTAACAGAGAACATTTCTATGCTTAGGTAAATATAAGGTTCATATTTGCATATTTTAAATTTTTTATTCAGCAGAAATCTTTAAAAGAAACTTTTGTGTAAAACGTTAACGATAACTATTTGTATTAGTAAAATATATTATTATTTTTATTGATTTGTATCATTTAAAAAAAATTCTAAGCTTTGCAAATGGTTTGCAGGCTCTATTTATTTAAAAAATGAATTTAGTGTGTTTTGTTCAGTTGTACAAGAAAAATGAACATTAAAAACATTTTTATAACACTGGTTCAGTATTGCTAGAATTACCTATCAAAATTGACAACTAATTGATTGTTGACAACTCGTTGAACAATTGATAAGTCGTATAATTAATATTTTGTTCTTATTCCGCACAACCGTTTCTTAGAAAACTTTATAGCATTAATTATCATGAAAAGTATTGTAAAAAATCATTTAACAGAACTTTATTATTATTCTTTCTTTTCTTTCCCAGCGAACAATTTTAAAGTTAATGTCTCTGCTTTAGATTTTCCTTCTGCAGCGTAGACTCTCCCGCGGTGCAGGAGAGTATTGTGGGTTGCGTCGAGTCTCCTTTAAAGGGGATGCTCTCCGCAGCGGAAAACAGTTAAGGGTCAGCGGCTGCGAGAGTTAATAGCTAGATATATAAAGGCCACTGCACACACGTGCCCAATGAGGGTGTTCCTGTGAGAAAGATAGATCGGTTGGGAACTAGACGTTCTGTCGGAAACACGTGACCTTGACCCATAAATCTGTCGACATTTCCTACGGAGATCGTTGAGAACTATTGGTCTTAAAATGGAAGTTATAACTTTATCTTAGACGTCATTCTCAGAGTACACCATCGCCCAATGGAATTAAATAACGTATTCTATGACTATTTTACCGAAGGTATATTTAATACTTCTATTGTTTGTCTTTGGATTATAATTAAAATAAACCATTAACTGTATTAATGAGTACCAATAACTTACAAAAACTGGGTTCAGCAAGTAATATAATTTATTTATTAAAGATAATTCACAATTTGCTAGGATAAAGTCCAAGTATTGAGTTCATTTGATGTTTTCTGTGGAACATTAACGTGAACTACAGATAGAATATCGCCCAAATCAACGTACATAGTTCCAAATATTCCGTAATAGGACTGTCATAATGACACTCTTAAACAACTACATAATTTGTTATATCAATATAAATGAAAATATGATTTTAATAATAAAATATTAAGCACGAAATTAAGGATAAACTGTATGCAATATAAAATAGCCAGTTTAAAAATTAATTTCTGTTAAATTCATATTTTAGTCACAAAAAATATTTAAATTTATTTTGCAAACCGTACATCTTCATAATTACAAAGATACAGTTCTCATATTTCATGTTCATATTAGATATATTGCTATAAATAATGAATTATTAACTTTGATTGTGATGACGTTACCTGAATTGATTTTTTCTTCTGGAGGTACTGCACAAGTAGAATGGCAGGTAGCATGAAGTAAAAATAAAACATATACATTTTGTTAATTATATTCATTAATTAAATTTTTATTAACCAGATTAATATTTTAAAAAAATTAAGCATGATCTTACCATTTATTCCTTTTTCGTAATACATTTTATGTTATTTGACAAACTATTTGCTGAATTAAACCCACATTAACATCGAAAGCCAAGTGATAATTATTAGTTTTGAAAAAAGGAATAAATGAAAGTTAAATACCTAAATTTCATAAAATGAACATTGTCATCTGATACCGTTTAATTTTAGATAAATGTAATTATTTCTCTGATTAATTTTCATCATTATTAATGAAGTTACTAAATATTACTTTGATGATAGTTATTACCTTGGCACAAAGTGTAAGCGATATAAATCAGTCCCTCACTGCTAAACCAAAATTAAAAATACTCTTGGCCTTGATGCGGAATTTGAATTATAGGATTTTTCATCAGTGAAACACTGTGTTTACGTTCGTTCCATATTAACGTGACTCGAGGGACTGAAATATTATTTTCAATTCACTGCTATTTATTTACGACCTCTGAATTGAAGTGGAAACCAAAACACGAGCTTATCAAGAGTTTTTGCAGCAACTAGCTTTGGAAATTAATAATATAATAAAAGATATTAATACCAGAGGGAACGTATTAATATGGTGACTGTATTGATTGTACACTATCATATATATCGTTAAGGTGTAAACATCAACGAAATGCAAATGTACTAAACGTTCTGAGCCACAAATAAGTTTGGTAGTTTGTATGGCTGTAATGAAATACAATTAACAAAGATTATAATATGTTATTCCAGTATATTTACTTGTGAATTGAGTGTAATTAACATAATTTTATTATTTATAAATTAATTTAAATTTTCAACTTGGTTTTCAATTCTTCGCAATTTTATATTCCGAAGTACGTGGAATATTGCTTATATATTCAATCCATATCTATTGTTTCTTAAGTACTAAAATGAGTAAAACAATTATAATTTTCTGTACCCATAGTCTACCGTTTCCTGTGTAATAAGAGTTGGAGCAATTCTAAATGCCTCAATCCAAAGTCTACCATTTATTGTGTGCTAAAGAATGTGGAATAATTACATTTCCTTTAATTTATTGAGCGAGGGAATGTTGAAGTGTATGATACACTTCCTGTTCCATGGTCAAGTATTCGACCTTTTCGTTTGTACAAAAGTCTGTGAAATTTTTCTTCTACCTTCAATAAACTGTACCATAACGTTCACATAACATCCCTACCGTTCATTATGTCTTGAAATGTGTGGCGCATTTCTAGTTTTTTTCTACCCCTCATTCCGCACCCAATCGATGCTTACGTAGTAAAATGTAAAATTAAAATACTAATTTTCACCCCAGTCTGTGGTGATGTATGTCCTCAAAGGTTTGGAAAAATTCCCTTTCCATAAACACTGTCAAACACAATAAACATAGTCCACCTTTTCCAAGTCATAATTTTAAATAATAATGTATAAAAATGGGTAATTTCGTTTCGTCACACCATAAAATGAATTTATATACTAAACGACATTGTTCTAAAGTGAAAAGAAAAATAATGACATTTCATTAAAATCCACCCCTCTGTTATGACTTGTGTTTTATGTGTACCGCCCAATCCGCAGCCATAGTCTCCTGTGTATCTTACTCACCCGCGTCGAAATGGCGGTCCAGGGTGACGCACCCCTCTGTCGTGGTGAGCACACGAATTGAGTTGCTCTCGCATTATTAACAATTATAGATTCCCAACCTGTGACGCTGTATGTTCTAAAAATACATGACACTACTAATTCCTTTAAACAACAGTCTGTGTGGTCGACTGTTGTAAAAATTTCTAGAACCCTTGTAATGCCTTCAACGCACAGTCTGATATCTTGTTGTTCCTTCAACTCGCGTGGAAGATTTTTAACTTCTTCATCCAGGGGTCTGTGATGTTTTTAAGTCCTAAACCACGTGGATCATCTCTAATTCCTTCAACCCAAATATAGCCATAATAATGTTTTAACTGGAAAGTGTTCTTTAATAGGTAGACTGGCGCCAGCGCCCGCAATGCATCTCTCACATATGTATATTCACACGCAACTTTTTGTGAATGCGAATGATCTAAAGCTCTATTTACAGAAATATGTACTTTATTTAGTTTACACATGTCTCCCAATGCCATTGTCAATAATTCCTACTCTGCAGAAATCTTGTCTAAATACTTATGGTAAAAAAAGGTAAAAATTGCCAAAGAACACGCAAAAATCATTTAACATCTATTATCTTATTGAATAATATTAAATACAATTTCCACAAATGATTTTGGCATGTTCTAAACAAACGTAAACCTAAACAAACGATCCTAAATAAGACAAATTACACATTTTATAGATAGGCACTTGTCATAGACACGACTGAAAATAATGCCATGACACGTCCCGCCGACGACACGAGCTCAGAATGCATTGGTACCATTGCACTACGTATCTGACAGATAACGCGTAGGGCAGTGATCAAGTTCCAACATGCTCCCAGGAAATGATTCGACGAAAGAATAAAAATTGAAAGCTAGGCGTTCTCAGAAACGTATAATGAAGGAATACACGAAATACCAGACGAATAATGCATCGCAGTAATTCAGGAAAGTAAAACCGCCATCTCACAGATCTATTGCAAGCGCTTTCTGTTTAAATTACGAGTGTACCACACAGCGTAGAACCCATTCCCCTCCCCTCAGTCGTAGTCTCCCGGGAGCGTGTTACTCACCCGCGTCGTGCAGCACGTCGAAGCGGCGGTCGGCGGTGACGCGCGCCTCGCCCGCGGTGAGCACGCGCAGCGAGTGCCGCTCGCGGTCCTCCTTCTTCCACAGCACCGTGTTGTCGCCGGCGTCGCGCACCACGCACGTCACCAGCGCGTCGTCGCCCTCGTACACGTGCACCGGGTGCGTCAGCCTGTCCCGCACCGAACGGCAGCCCGCCTGCCGCACACACAACCACGCACTCGTTAGTACTCGTTAATATAATGCATGGAATAAAGGTGTTAAATATGTACATAAAATATTTAACATTTTACCAGGCATATATTATTCTATTAGCATATCCCTGTACACAGTATTTGAGTAAACCTCCAGGTGCGTCAGGCTGTCGCGCACCGACGTTAGCCCGCCTGCCGCACAACACGCACTCGTTAGTACTCGATTATAATAATAACAATAATAATATATTACATGGAATAAAGACGTTAAAATATGTACAAAAATACTTAACATTTTATTTCATTATTAGCATATCCTGTACAGTATTTAAGTAAACCTTCAGGCGCGTCAGGCTTGTCGCGCACGACGCAGGCCGCCCTGTCCGCTTTTCACACACACCACCACACACACACACACACACACACCACAGAAAAATACTCGATGATCATAAAAATAATAATAATGCATGGAGTAAAAGATGTTAAAATATGTACAAAAATATTTAACATTTACAGAATATTATTATCTAATTAGCATATCCTACAACAGTATTTGAGTAAACTCCAGGGTGCGTCAGGCTGTCGCGCACCGACGTTAGCCCGCCTGCCGCACACACACGCACTCGTTAGTACATCGATCTATAATAATAATAACAATAAAAATATATACATGAAAAAGACGTTAAATATCGTACAAAAATACTTAACATTTTATTATCTTATTAGATATCCTGTACATATTTAAAGTAAACTACAGGCGGTCAGGCTGTCGCGCACCGACGCAGCCGCCTGCCGCTTTCACACTAACACACACACACACACACACATACTCAGTACTCGATGATATATAAAAATAATAATAATGCATGAGAGTAAAGATGTTAAATAATATGTACAAAAATATTTAACATTTTACCAGCATATCGATTATCTAATTAGCATATCCCTACACAGTATTTGAGTAAACCTCCAGGTGCGTCAGGCTGTCGTGCACCGATGGCAGCCCGCCTGCCGCGCGCGCGCACACACACACACACACACACACACTCGTTAGCACTCAATAATAGTTCAGGGTATAAAGAAGTTTAATATGTTCAAAACTATTTAAAATTTTACCTGCATATTATTATCTTATTAGTATATCCCTACACAGTATTTGAGTAAAACTCTGGGTGCGTCAGGCTGTCGCGCACCGATGGCAGCCCGCCTGCCGCGCGCGCGCGCACGGACACACACACACACACACACACACACACACACACACACACACACGCACATATTCTTTAGCACTCAAAAATAGTGCATGCAATTAAGAAGTTCAAATATATACAAAATATTTAACATTTTACCACCATATTATCTTTTTAGCATATCCCTATACAGTATTTGAGTAAAACTCCGAGTATGCGATTGTGCGGATGTGTACGGTTCCGTCACTCGCGGCTACGCCCTTTCCCGTGCACTAATCGAGAAGTTTGTATGAAGTGTCGCCTTCAAAAGAAAATTGTTTCTATTTCACGCCAGTGAAGATGTGTTTGGAATGTTAGCATCAGTGCTTTCATCAGAAGAGAGGTCATCGTTCACGAAAAGTTGCGCGAGTAAAAGTAACGATTGAAATACGTTAAGATGCAAGTGGTAGAAACAAGCAGACATCGTTAGAAGAGGAAGGAAACTAATTTGTATGTTTATCCTCTATCTCTTCCAGTTTATTTATTTATTGTCTTGCTATTTATTACATCTTAAATTTAATCCGTGGCATCACACATGTAGAATTTGGAGTTCGAGACGGAGATTAAGTGGAGTGCGTCATACACGATACGCCAGATATCCTCCCAGCTGACTTTCAAGTTGGCGTTAGAATTCCATCTAATAATCAAAAGTAAAGTAGGACGGACTCTTACGCGTTTAATCAAAGAAGTTATACTTTCAACTGATATCAAGTTTGGACCAATAAATGTAACCAAGTAAGAGAATCAATCATGCTTTGTGAATATACCTATTAACTGAACTGTATTGTGAAATTGGGAAGCATTCAAACAGAGTTATTATTGTGAATGAGTATGTAAATAGGAGAATGTGGAGAATGGAGTAATGCTATAGAAGGCACAACAAATATTTCATTCAAGTTTATAATTATATCTTTGTATTTAAGGGTAAGATTTCATTGGAATATAAAATTATGTCTGTGGATGGTGGATAATATTGTAACTGGAATTTGAGATAAGAAGTGAAAGTGAATTATTTGACAAAATAACTCAATTATTTTTTGGAAAGAATTGTGATTTATTCGAGAAAAGGATAAGTACTATCATTGTACATTTAATAAGAAATTAGAATAGTACAAAAAACTGCGATTCTTTTATTATTTCGTTATTTATTATAAGGTCACACAGATTTAGGTAACTTGATTCCAAATGTACTTTAGGGAATGCTGTATATTCTTTTAATGTTTATGGCGGAGGGGTCTTTCTGAATATGTACTTTTGAAATTTTAATTTCGAGATTATATAAAATGTTTGTGAAGTATTTTGTGAGTATTTTGTTGTAAAGCCAGACTGCAGAGAGCTCACGTCCCGATATGAAAAAGTATATATGACCGGGCCCTTGCATTTATTGTTTACGCTGAGCTAACCGCCGGGAGGGCGTAATATAATGTTTATATAATTTTCCATCATAGGCAGTTATGATAGATCTATGAATTATACACATCGCCTTCGATTTCACTAGCTTACAAAATATGTGATTTTGCGATACGAATATGTAATATTGTTTTTTTTTGTTTCTTTTTACTATTCAATACTTTTATCAATTTCATGTGTTGGTGTTTTGCTTAACGTATTGTAGCTGTCATTTTGACCTGTAACTTAACCATCTGTCGGATGTGTCATGTATACTAAACCTAGGAATCCTACATCCCCATATAAATTCCCTCTCTTGAATGAATATTTTCAAAAAAATTTCGCGAGATGGTAAAAAAACTAATATCGAAAATACAACGTTTTAATGAAAATAAACAAAATTACAAGAAAGAAGAATGAAATGTGAACCTCATATTAAAAAAATATTTTGCATAGTAATTTAATTGCTCCACTTTCAAAGAGAACGCAATAAACTGATTTATAAGTTCAAATTTCCATAAGACTATGCATTTATGATTCGTGATTATAACAAAAAAATTGAAAGGAAACTCTCTGGCAGTTATTCCCTGAAAATTGTCTTTTTAAACGGCTCTCCCTGGAGGTAATGGCTGCAGCTGTGATGAAAATTCGGCCATAAGCTGCGCAAACTGCCTGCTCTTCCAAGCAATTTGGCTTCGGTGGATGGGATCATACATTTTAAATCCACGTACGGTAGGCGTTTTTTAAAAACGTATTGAAAAAACGTTTAATAAGTTAAGTTTTAAACGTACAATTCAAACGAATATTACATAAAAACCGAACTTTTGTAACCTCATGTTTTTGTTTTCGCACTTCTTTCATTTGAAATGTGTCCGGGAATATTCAGTCTTTCCGATAACTAAGTTAAAATAAAGGCTTATGTAGTCCTCAAAATTTGCATACAAAAGTGGAAAAATCGAACACACGAGGAAAATATAAAAAACTCGGATCAGAATATTTTCGTTGAAGTAAATGCAGAAAATACAAGGTGTACAACTTTGCTTCCGCCGTTTTTCAATAGTTGGCTACAGTGGTAAGTAACGGGTTGCGATAAACAAATCGCAGACGTCAGGCAGTTAGCTGTGAGCTTCGGCAACATAACCCCATTCAAACAGTAGTGGATTTGTGTGTGCAACGTAACGTTGTTCGCGATTGAAAATGTCAGTGTACGAGCCGAATTCTGTGTATCTGCTTATACATAGGAGCCGTGAAGTGCCACGGTGGCGTAGAGTCGAGTGGCAATAGAGAGGTCAATTTAATAGGGAGTCAGGAAGCGTTAGTCCAGGCGTAACGCAGCGCATGTCAGAAGTAGTTATTGAGTCGTGGCGCACGAGGCGTGACGAGTGCGTGGCGAGCGTGCTAGTGGGTTGTGTGTCATGACGAGGCGTGGAGAGGTGTGGCAAGGTCTGACGAGGCGTGGTGAAGCATTGGTGAAGACGTGGTGAAGCGTGCGAGGTCATGCGAGGCGTGGCGAGGATCGTGGCCGAGTTGTGGCGGAGGCGTGAACGTGGAATGTGGAATTGTGGCGGAAGGCGGCGAGCAAGTGTGGAAGCGGGGCGGAGCGTGGCGGAGCGTGGCGTGGCATGGATGGGACGGCGCGGCCTAACGTCGGCGGAGCATGAGCGAGGCGTGGGGTGGCATGAAGCAGTGAACGGGCCATTGGCCATAGTGCGGGGGATGCCGGTGGAAATGCGGGGCGGTGACGGAAGACGGGGTGCGTGGCGCGAGCGAGGCGAGAGAAGGGCGGGAGAGGAAAGGTCCGAATTCGAGCGGGCTAAGCGAAAGCGGATAGGCAGAGGGATTCGCAAGGGCGCCGTCCGCCGCTTCGAGGCATCGACGCCGAACGACCGGGGAACCGGCCCCTTAAAAATTCCGCGTCCTCGCATAATTCAGCAAGGAGCGCATTGACCGAAGGCAGGGCGAGCGCTTCCCGCCGCCCAACGAGACTGCTTATTCGGCCGGCCGCTGGCGCGACCACAACTGCTCGCCACTCGA